CTTTGTCAGCCTGGCTACAGTGCTGAAAAGAAACCTGGGGTTGTTCTTATTTTCCTCAATCAGTGATGAATAAAATGTGGTTCTGGCACTATGAAGGGCTTTCTTATATGTTATTAAACTATCTTTCCAGGCTATGAAAAACTCTTCTGACTTAGTGGAGCGCCACCTCCTTTCCATTTTTCGTGATGCCTGCTTTAGGGAGCGGAGCTGCGAGCTGTACCACGGGGCTAGCCTCCTCTGTTTCACTAAATTCTTTTTCAGAGGGACAATGGTATCAAGTGTATTACGCAGTGTATTCTATTCTGTCTTGGACTCCACCCTCATTTCTTAGTTAATTAATAGAGCAACAGGGAAAGAAATTCAATATGAGTGTGAATGTGAGTGAAAAGGACAAAGCTGCAGGATTATTTAACTACTGCAGAGGGCAGGACAAACAAATGCCTCATAGAACTGGACTTTACCTCTGAAATCATAATGACAATTTGAAACACTGCTCCAGAGGTGCATCATGCTAAGACGAACACAAATTAGCAACATTGACAGCTTTTATATATGAGCCGTTTTAAAGAAGTACAGTTCCAAAGCGACTAATTAATTACTACTAAATCCTCAAAAAAAAAAAAACCCTTAGTATTTTAAGGATGTGATTTAAAAACCATGATAGCAGATGCCAGAACACCACAGATAAGTGTCATAAAGTATTGTCTTTAGTGGGATGGAAGCAACTACTGCTAATAGGTATTAAACTGAAATATAACTCACCTCTTGGGAGGTTTTCAAAATTGATTTAGTTAACTAAATAAATACATAGCAAGTGTAGATGTTTCCATGGTGAAAAATTTGCACGAGGTAAGTTCTAGGATGAGTAGAGGTTACAACGTTAGACAGAACAACAAGAGCTAGAGAATAAACCAACTCACTATCAGATACCTTGTGGACTGTACAGTTGTGTTAAACCCCTCTCTACCGGCGGGATAAAAAAATGCTTACTGTTAATGCTGATTGAATCAAGTCTTACGACGCGTAGTTTGGGCCTCTTTCATCCTTTCTAACTTTTTATTTTTGTTTATCAGCCAACAGCCATCACACCCACATTTTAAACCATTTTATTTGCAAATTGTAAACTAGTCTAGATGTGCAGCACTGAACACTTACCAGCTGTTAGTGACATTTGTTAACTCAGGCAGAGGGCAGTTTGAATTGTGTGTCAGACTCTGTTGCACTTTGTATATGATTTATTGGGTTGGGGATGCCAGAGAGGACTAGAAGACGACCTGCAGGTAAGACTGCTTCACTAATTTCCTTGTGGCAAAATGGAATAACAGTGTCTGATTGGCTTCAGCCATGAGTTTCAAAACCAGTTGTTGTTGATGTGCCTTTAGGTGTATAAACTGTAATCAGATAAACTGCTTCACAGGTGTCGTTTGGATGTTTTTCCTGGTAATTTTGACTTTACACTTGACCTGCTTTTCCTCCAACACCTAACCTGTAAGATGTGTAGGGGCAGAGAAGCGCTGAAACCGTAGTTCTTCACCTGTAAGTTGCACATCAGTAGCTCCCAGTCTGTAGAAAATGCCACTTTTTGGGTGTTTTTTTTTTTTAAACCAGATTACATTCCAGATAGGCTTGTTTAAATGTTTTTATAATTAAATTTGGGTTTTTCTTATATAGAGTTTGTTTTTAATTCTTGAAGGAGTTTCTTGTGGTATTCAGTGCTACACACAATCTCTGACTGAATATATTTTTCCTACCCACCTTATTAGTTGTATCCTCAACCTCTTTAAATCTACAAATCATTTTTAATGCTTTAAATATAATACAAAGTTTTTATGTGCAAATATATGATACCAACCATAGAAAGTCACAATTTAAATATAAAATTGTCCTGTAGTCTCAGATTCTGGTTTTGTCACCCGACTGTAAACTGAACTCCCACACTGCTGCAGGGGAGGCCTTGCACTGGCATTCTCCCCTGCATTTCAGATGACCATGGGAGCTGATTGTGTAATTCATTTAGTTGGGCCGTGTGCCATGTTAAGCTGTGGGCTGGTTTAAATTCACTAGTTACTGAGATGAGACCAAACCAAGTCATTATATAATCATCTTAAACGTATAGTTAAATCTTAATGAACTTGTTAGCCTGTGCTTTATATTGCCTTGAGGTGTTTGTAGCCTAAAAAGCCCAAGTTTCTAATTAAACCCAGTAACTAAAGGTATCATTTAAAGCTTATCTCTTCTGCAGTGTAATGGGCTTCACAATGCTACAACAGAGTTTTTATTGGAATGGCAAATTATTAAACCAGAGCATAATCTCAGATCAACATAGATCATGAAGTAGCTGCAGATGACGAGCTGACCTTTTACAAATCTGAAAAGAAATCATTCAATAATAGCGTATGTGGTGAAGGCTAGGGCTAGGACAGGAAATGATTTCATCACTGATCAAATAAAAATGCTGTAATCAATATCTAGAGTTAAAAAGTGCTGACAGAACACCAGAAAAGTTCAACTGGAGCATAGTTTTTACTTCCACTCCTGCTGCAACCCATCATATAAGCACAGATTAGCTTTATTTTTAGGCATCTTTCAAGGATGAACTGCAGTTTATGGTTTTATGTTTTAGTGTGTCCAGAATTGAGCAACATTTACATGAAACCTTCTCGAGCAGCAGACCAATCTTAAGTGTCCGAGCTAAGAAGACCTCCTCACTTGCAGCAGCCAACCTCTCCAAGGCATTGAGTCATGGCAGTATGTGAACATACCTGGCCCAGGGTGTCTAAATCATTTTTCAGTATCTTGTGCTGAGAATCTGTTTATATTTAAGTTTGGTGGGCTTTTTAGTGTTTTGAATCCAGTAACACATTCTCTCTTTTCTTCCTGTTGGGCTCCTGCAGAAACTGGAGGAGGAAAAAGGAAAGAAAGAAAAGGAGCGACTGGAGCTGGAGAGGGAAAGGAAAGAGAGGGACAAAGAGCGGGAGCGTGAGAGGGAACGACGCGACCGCGAGAAAGAGAAGGAAAGGGAGAGAGAGAGGGACAAGGAGCGGGAAAGAGACCGTGATCGAGATCGTGAACGCGAGAGAGATCGTGAACGGGAGAGGACAAAAGAGCGAGAGAGGGAGCGGGAAAGGAGCCAAGACATTAATGAAGGCCGCAGCAGATCGAGGTCAGTGATGAGAAACCTGATTACCTGACAGTTTGACCAGTTCTGCCCTCGCCCTGAAGTTTGTGGGTTTTTGTTTCGATGCTAGAAATAGGCAGTTCAGTTAACTCTGATGTAATGACACCATGTACCATGCAAATGTCAGTGAAACGGTGACTAAATATGGCATTTTTTGCCACTTGTGTGTATATATATATATAACTTTTTTCAACTGTAATGTAATATTTAAACCACCCTAACACCAATAATGTGTCTTATGCAGAGAGACGACAAGGGAGGATAAAAAAAGAGACCGTGAAGAAGATGAGGAAGACATCTACGAACGGAGAAGACTAGAGAGGAGGCTTCGAGACAAAGAGGCAGCTTACCAAGAAGTATGTGTATTATCTCTCCTGTCATTTTTATTTTCATTGATTCAAAATAAGTTTAAATTGTTTCACATAAAAATGAATTTAATGGGCTGTTTGTGTCCGACTCAGTGTTGGTTGAATTTTTTTTTCCTGTGTTCTTAAAGCGTCTTAAAAACTGGGAGATCCGGGAGAGGAAGAAGGCTCGTGACTATAGCAAAGAAACAGAGAGGGAGGATGAGCGGCGTCGTGAAATGGTACACATAGATGCATACTACGCCAGATCCATGTGTTAGCAAGCGGTTTATGCCATTGGTTTTAGGCAGTTTAGAATGTCAGATATGGGAGGATGACTTTCTGGGTTTATGTAGATACAATAATTATTGCTGTGTTCAAATTCAGATGAAAGAAGCCAAAAGGCTGAAAGAATTCCTTGAAGATTACGACGATGACAGAGATGACCCTAAATACTACAGGTGAATGTCTTTATGCGCATTTAGAAGTATGAGGCACACTTTGGTTTGTGTTTGACACAAATTCAGTGTTTGTAATTCTCATATGCAGGGGGAGCGCTTTGCAGAAGCGACTTCGTGACCGTGAAAAGGAAATAGAATTGGATGAGCGAGACCGAAAGAGAGAGAAGGAGGAGCTGGAGGAGATCAGACAGAGGCTTCTGGCTGAGGGCCACCCTGACCCTGATGCTGAGCTGCAGAGGGTGAGTCCATCTGAGATTAGTGGTGGAATCAATGTGTGTGTGATTGTTTTGTTGAAATCCAGCTACATACAGTAAAGTTGGAGTTTGCATGTTTTCTGTCTTCCTTTTGGTGTTGAACCTGTAAGGATGCATCTGTTCAAATATTAATTGCTGATAGATATAAATTAAAGTGCAGAATGCAAAGTCATTGTTAACATGTCAAGTATATTTATATAGATGGAAGAAGAGGCAGCGCGCAGACAGCAGCCCCCTCTGAAGCTTGAACCCGAGGAGGATGTGAACCAGGAGAAGACTCACAAGGATCGGGAGAAGAGGGGCTCAGGAAGGCCCGTGGAGCCAACACCTCGAAGTCCCCAACAGCATTCAGATGAAGATGTGGAGGAAGGACAGGAGGATGACTACCACCATGGCGAGGACTCACAAGAAGCTAAGCCACAACTCAAACCCGTTATGCGACCAATCACTACTGCTCCCTCAGTGTCCTCGGCCAGCGGAAATGCGACTCCCAACACACCCGGTAATGAATCTCCCTGCGGCATCATCATTCCAGGCGAGAACACTCCTGAGGTCCAACCTCTAGAGGAGCACCGGCCCAAAATTGGTCTCAGTCTGAAGCTGGGTGAGTTCAGTAGCAAACCAAGGACACGGGGGGATCTGTTTCTGTAATGTGATTCTTTGTGTTGGGTTTAATTGGTGTTCTCCTGTTTTTCTGTTCCAGGTGCCACCAACAGTCCCAGCCAGCTCAGTGCAGGAAAGCGAAAGAAGCTGGTGACCGTAGACAGTGTTTTCAACAAATTTGATGACGAGGAGGCTGATGAGCAGCCTCGTAAAAGGAAACTGGTTCCACTGGACTATGGTGATGACGATAAGAGTCTGGGGCTGGATGGGGCAGAAATTTCAGGGGCCAAAGGCAGCATCAACTCAGAGGAGAAACGTAAGAACATAAAGAGCCTCATTGAGAAGATTCCCACTGCCAGGCCTGAGCTCTTCTCCTACCCTCTGGACTGGACCATGGTTGATTCGGTAAACAGCCTCTGGCAGTTTGGATTTGTGTTTTATTAAATGTACAGTAGTATCTGTTGGTTGTTCTAAAGGTCCAGACAGTGTAGAGTGGTGCTTTTAAAAATTCTGCCCTGTTGTTCTTTGTCTACATTAAACAATTTATAAGTGCTTATTTGCCGACATTCCATGATCAGCAGTTGAAAATGAAGTCACAGGTTGTTCTTTCTGTAGATTCTGATGGATCGCCGCATTAGACCATGGATCAATAAGAAGATTATTGAATATATCGGTGAAGAGGAGCCCACTCTAGTTGATTTTGTCTGTTCAAAGGTCAGTGATTGTTTCTGTTTTAGACTAAGCAGCTTGTCTTGAAGTTTGTGATGCTGGGCATTTTGCTTGAAGTAACAGTATTTTCTCCCCAGGTGATGGCACATAGTACACCTCAAGGTATTCTTGATGATGTCGCTATGGTAAGTTGAAACTGCCTTAAGTTGGTATTTGAACCTGATGTGACCACTTTCATCGCTATTTCTTGTCTGGGGACATTTGATTGCACTTAAAAGTCCCCAGGTGATATCAAATAAATAGTACATGCCAGAAAGTATAACCTCAAATATGCAGGTTTGATGTGTTGTCATATAATGTACGACAGTAAACTGAATATTGTTTTGGTTCATTTTTCACTATTTTATGACATTTCACAGACAAAACTTGGTTACAATCATGAAAATTACTATTAGATGGTGCTGTAACCCACATATATAATTGCATTATGTTCATGTAAGAAGACATTTTAGTTGCATATATTTACTGAACTGTTGGTTATATACCTTTTCTACCAAACCCCTTTGTGTTTAGGTCCTCGATGAAGAAGCAGAAGTCTTCATTGTGAAAATGTGGAGGCTGTTGATATATGAAACAGAAGCCAAAAAGATTGGACTGGTGAAGTAAAGACTGCTCTGACTTTCTCAGCTCTGCTACCTGCAGTTTTCTGGTCCAGCAGACCTGTAAACATATGCCCCTCCATTCCTCCAGCAAGGAGCTCCTGCCTTGTATGAGCGAGTGTTTGGGAGGGGAGGTCTGAGCTGTGAACAGAAATGTTTGCACAAACACACTGCATGATAAAATGTCAGTTGTATTCTTTTTCCTTTGTTGATGCTGTTGAGGCAAAAGACAAAGTTGCAAATCACCAATCTATATTCTGCTTTGACTTACAGTTGTCATGTTGACACTTCCGTTGTGTGAACTAATAAATATACATTTTTCTTTTTAAAGAAAATAGTGTCTTGCTTGATGTGTTATCTGTTTTCTTTCTTTTTATTTGGCTGTTTATAAATGCAGTAATGCTTGAGAAACTGTTATTTCTCTGTCCTCCTTTTAAATTCTCCAAAATACATAAAGCTTTGTCTTTCAAAATGACAATTTGTTTTTTTAGAACAATACTTGCTCTCCAAAGATCAAATGTCCAGATGTGGACTTCCAAACAGATGGGATGGATGTGGTCTCTCGTTTACAAATGATTTTCCTCCTATAAGTGCCCTATTTGGAATAACGGCGAGAGACATTCTGGACTATATGTATATAGTAAATGTACATTTTAAACATTTTATTTATTATACATATAAAGGAACTGATACGCTGGATTTACACACTTCATGACGCGAATATGTTCTATGTAATGCTTGGCCACACCGTCCTTTTGTCTTGTGTATTCCTGTCTTTATTACTTTTAGCTCAACTTTAAAGTGGAAAACTTCGTTTCTCTTCCACTGAGTTTCGCAGAAACGTGGCAGGTCGAGGGATGAACTTTGACCCGGAAGTACTTTTCAACGGCATCAAACCGGAGGATGCTCTGTTAGCCGCTGATCAAGTCGGGAAGTTGTAATATTATTTTGTCAGTTAAATCTTGAAGACACGATGCGGGTTGTCAGTTGTTTGGACGTGAAAGTTAACCTGTCAGAGTTCTGTATTTGTTAATTTTAAGAGCCGGATAATTGACGAAGCTAGTTAGCATAGATTTGCTAACGCTAGCGAGGCCAAAGGCTGCACTGTTTTCTGTGTAGTTAACGTGGATGTTTTGTTAGCTAAGTGAACCAAAAGAGAGACGTGACGTTTGTTTATACTAACGGCTGCCGTTCGGGGTTGTGCCATTTAACTTGACGAGCACAAGTAAAAAGTCTGTGTTAAAATTGTTAGTAGACGTTGGTTTTGATGGTTTCGCTTGGTGGTACATTAGCCGAAGAGAGAAGTGCAGTTATGGACGATTTTAGCTCGATCAGCCTGCTGTCTTTAGCGATGTTGGTGGGATGTTATGTGGCCGGGACAATACCTTTAGCTGTCAACTTTTCAGAGGTAAGTTTCTAGCATAAAACTTTGTACAACCGCATTCTGAAAGTTTGGACTATAGCTATCTTGTCACTTGTCAATACCCACATTTCCAAATGTCCAAAAAAGGTTGATCTTCTCCAGTTGCTTTAATCAGAACAAATGATTGCATCATAAACTCTGTTTGGTTATCAGATAATCAGCAAGGGTTAAAACAATGTGACTCAATAGACAAAAGCTTTATAAAAAATGTTTGGTCACCGTTTACACAGCAGACTATAACACCACCAACAACAACAAAAAAAAAACAAAGAAGAGGGGGAGGAAAGCGCCCAACAAAGCAAATCCAAGGACATAGTGGAGTTCAATTCAGAAATTGGTCCACTTGCACCCTTCAGTCCATTTGATTATGATACAAGTCAACAATCTTTAGATAACGTACAGTATATCAGTCACATGTTCAGAAATTTCACAGCTGTCGGTACAAATGAAGCTCCAAAGCATTACATGAAACACTGGCATCCTCAACCGCTCACTCGTCACATTTAGATCATTAAAAACACTAAACAGAGGATGATCTTCAAACTATGAATTATGATCTGTACTCTCTTTCTAGTTGTTTTTTCCAAATACCGTTTCCAGTGAATCAGGAGTCGGCCCAATAATAAAGCCTGCCTTTCTGATAAACTTACATATTTATGTGTCTGCAGGAGAAGCTGAAGCTGGTCACTGTGCTGGGAGCAGGGCTGCTTTGTGGGACTGCACTCGCTGTTATTATTCCTGAAGGGGTCCACGCACTTTATGAAGAAATCCTTGAAGGTAGAGTTCACCAAACCAGTGGTTTTTGAGTGTTAAAGAGTAACCAGAAATGTTCTCAAGTCCTTTAGATTTAGACAAGCCTGTCTGGCATTTTATTACATTGAAACCAGCTTAAATTGGAGAAAGTTTTCTTTTGTTTGTTACTAGAGTGGCAACTAAGTTTGATAAACGCTATGAGTTTATAAAATGCAACTTTGTGGCACAACCTCACCTACACATGCGTGACAAATGAAAGGAAAAACCTGATGGGAGTGGTCTCTTCTAGGATGACAGTGCAGGATGACTCCCTAACTGTGAGGAGGAAGCAGAACGTAGCACCAAACAGGAGAGTGGTGAGAGTAGGCAGCCAAAGAAAGAGAAGGGCATAGGGTAAAAACCCAAAGTAAATTGGCCTAGGACTAGTGAGAGGGCCATATTTACGTGTGAACTAATAAATATACATTTTTCTTTTTAAAGAAAATAGTGTCTTGCTTGATGTGTTATCTGTTTTCTTTCTTTTTATTTGGCTGTTTATAAATGCAGTAATGCTTGAGAAACTGTTATTTCTCTGTCCTCCTTTTAAATTCTCCAAAATACATAAAGCTTTGTCTTTCAAAATGACAATTTGTTTTTTTAGAACAATACTTGCTCTCCAAAGATCAAATGTCCAGATGTGGACTTCCAAACAGATGGGATGGATGTGGTCTCTCGTTTACAAATGATTTTCCTCCTATAAGTGCCCTATTTGGAATAACGGCGAGAGACATTCTGGACTATATGTATATAGTAAATGTACATTTTAAACATTTTATTTATTATACATATAAAGGAACTGATACGCTGGATTTACACACTTCATGACGCGAATATGTTCTATGTAATGCTTGGCCACACCGTCCTTTTGTCTTGTGTATTCCTGTCTTTATTACTTTTAGCTCAACTTTAAAGTGGAAAACTTCGTTTCTCTTCCACTGAGTTTCGCAGAAACGTGGCAGGTCGAGGGATGAACTTTGACCCGGAAGTACTTTTCAACGGCATCAAACCGGAGGATGCTCTGTTAGCCGCTGATCAAGTCGGGAAGTTGTAATATTATTTTGTCAGTTAAATCTTGAAGACACGATGCGGGTTGTCAGTTGTTTGGACGTGAAAGTTAACCTGTCAGAGTTCTGTATTTGTTAATTTTAAGAGCCGGATAATTGACGAAGCTAGTTAGCATAGATTTGCTAACGCTAGCGAGGCCAAAGGCTGCACTGTTTTCTGTGTAGTTAACGTGGATGTTTTGTTAGCTAAGTGAACCAAAAGAGAGACGTGACGTTTGTTTATACTAACGGCTGCCGTTCGGGGTTGTGCCATTTAACTTGACGAGCACAAGTAAAAAGTCTGTGTTAAAATTGTTAGTAGACGTTGGTTTTGATGGTTTCGCTTGGTGGTACATTAGCCGAAGAGAGAAGTGCAGTTATGGACGATTTTAGCTCGATCAGCCTGCTGTCTTTAGCGATGTTGGTGGGATGTTATGTGGCCGGGACAATACCTTTAGCTGTCAACTTTTCAGAGGTAAGTTTCTAGCATAAAACTTTGTACAACCGCATTCTGAAAGTTTGGACTATAGCTATCTTGTCACTTGTCAATACCCACATTTCCAAATGTCCAAAAAAGGTTGATCTTCTCCAGTTGCTTTAATCAGAACAAATGATTGCATCATAAACTCTGTTTGGTTATCAGATAATCAGCAAGGGTTAAAACAATGTGACTCAATAGACAAAAGCTTTATAAAAAATGTTTGGTCACCGTTTACACAGCAGACTATAACACCAACAACAACAACAAAAAAAAACAAAGAAGAGGGGGAGGAAAGCGCCCAACAAAGCAAATCCAAGGACATAGTGGAGTTCAATTCAGAAATTGGTCCACTTGCACCCTTCAGTCCATTTGATTATGATACAAGTCAACAATCTTTAGATAACGTACAGTATATCAGTCACATGTTCAGAAATTTCACAGCTGTCGGTACAAATGAAGCTCCAAAGCATTACATGAAACACTGGCATCCTCAACCGCTCACTCGTCACATTTAGATCATTAAAAACACTAAACAGAGGATGATCTTCAAACTATGAATTATGATCTGTACTCTCTTTCTAGTTGTTTTTTCCAAATACCGTTTCCAGTGAATCAGGAGTCGGCCCAATAATAAAGCCTGCCTTTCTGATAAACTTACATATTTATGTGTCTGCAGGAGAAGCTGAAGCTGGTCACTGTGCTGGGAGCAGGGCTGCTTTGTGGGACTGCACTCGCTGTTATTATTCCTGAAGGGGTCCACGCACTTTATGAAGAAATCCTTGAAGGTAGAGTTCACCAAACCAGTGGTTTTTGAGTGTTAAAGAGTAACCAGAAATGTTCTCAAGTCCTTTAGATTTAGACAAGCCTGTCTGGCATTTTATTACATTGAAACCAGCTTAAATTGGAGAAAGTTTTCTTTTGTTTGTTACTAGAGTGGCAACTAAGTTTGATAAACGCTATGAGTTTATAAAATGCAACTTTGTGGCACAACCTCACCTACACATGCGTGACAAATGAAAGGAAAAACCTGATGGGAGTGGTCTCTTCTAGGATGACAGTGCAGGATGACTCCCTAACTGTGAGGAGGAAGCAGAACGTAGCACCAAACAGGAGAGTGGTGAGAGTAGGCAGCCAAAGAAAGAGAAGGGCATAGGGTAAAAACCCAAAGTAAATTGGCCTAGGACTAGTGAGAGGGCCATATTTACACAGTTAATTCAGATCTGGTAGATGCTCTTGAAGCATTGCAAGGGACAGTTGAGAAGATGCTAGAAAAAATGGGAGATGTAATTTATGACTACAGAGTGCCAAGTTTTGGAGTTTACACAAGTAGAAATAAAGCAGCAGTATAGATGGTAAAGTCAAGGTAGTAGCAGCGGATTGATAGGCTTGTTTGAGAACAAAGACAACTTAGAAAGCAGTGGAGAAAAGCAACAAAGTGAGAGAGGGGGCATGAATATGTTGCAAAATGACCTGAAATCTACATTGGCAAATCTAAGGAGAGCTGAAGGGCTTAGAAAAGCTAGACGGAAAAAGTAACGCGCTAGGGCAGGTTTTTATAGGGATCCATATAAGTTCACCAAGGCACTTTTTAATGAGGAGGAAAGTGGCACCTTGAAAGTAGAGAGCGAGAGGCTTACATAGAAAAGATACATGCAGATAAAGATAGGGACAGGAAGCTAGGTCTGCCCCCCCCCCACAGGGGTAGGAGAACAGCCTACAAACACCAAAGCACCAACAGTGAGAGAAGTGGAAATGGTAGTTGGGTGAGCAAGAGCAGGATCAGCTCCTGGGCCTAATGGCGCGCCCTATAAGCTATACAAGTACGCTCCAGACGTGTTGAGGTTTTTGTGGAGGCTTATAAGAGTAGCATGGAAGAACCAGCTCATTTCTCAGTCATTGAGAAGAGCAGGAGGGATTTTTTTTTATCCCTAAGGACACAGACTCAGTTGAAGTTGGGGTATATTTGCCTTTTGAATGTAGAAGGCAAGATTTTCTTCACTGTAGTGTAAAGAATAGGTACATTGACACTTCAGTGCAGAAAGCTGGAATAGCAGGTTTTTCTGGACTCTTGGAGGGTGCAAGCATGGCATGAAGTTCAAGTCAGAAAAAGGCAACGGAGGTTGTTATTAGGGCTTCTAGATGGGTTGCAGGAGGAGTGGGGCTTCTGTCAGGGCAATAGTTACCACCCATAAGAGCATACATGGATGACATGACAACTACCGTCACCACAGCACCATGTACCAGAAGGCTATCGGACAAACTGAATCCTACTTAAAGCGGGCTAGAATGAAGGTGACGCCAGAGAAAGAAGAAGAAGCTTTATTTTATTGTCATTGTGACACATACAAGAAAACTTGTTTGGAGCCGAGGGCCCCGGCATGTATACGCGCCGCAATCACAGGCGACTTGGGGGAAAAATACATCAGGTTTTCTCAAATCAATAATTTATTTTAAACAAGTGCCAGCAAAGTACACATGCCAAAACAAAATCACTAAACAAACTAAATGGTTAACTTCGCATAACTTAAGAAAACTCAACTCAAAATAACTCAACACAACTTACAGGCACGTGCACACTGCTACACTTAGACTGCCACACCCCCAGCTGCTCCACCTCAGCTGATTAAATAGCTCCTGGTATCAATCAACCCTATGACATCCTTGGTGACATCAGAGAGCGTACAGAATGAGGAAGTGATTAACCACCTCCTCCTTTATCCTATATCCACCTAGTAAATACAATCAAACATTTAACACACAGGTTAAAGCATTAAGAAACATACATGACTTATCTTAGGGACACGTGGAGTGCTCTCACCCACTTTGTCACAAGCTCCCAGTGATAAATAGCAGACTGAGGGCTTGAGACAGCAGGCATTTGATGGGATTAAGATCATAGAGGTGTCAGGCCTCTAAGACGAACTCAAACTGTGGTGTTTTGCCATGTTTGTTATGTCCACTGACAATGTATGATGTGCCATTTTCTAAGGTAGGAAAGCTAGAGAGAACGTCTAACATACATTAGGAAGTGGCTGGGAGCAAAAATACAGAAACACCTGTGACTATAATGTAATCCAGTACAACACCACCTTCAACCAGTGTACGTAAACACAGATGTTAAGGTGGAAGTGTTGCCCTGAATTGCATACAGTCGTACAGGTGTTCCTATTAAAGTGGCTGGTCAGGGCTTTAAATAGATATTGTTTAGTACTTCAGAATTTACCGACCGACGTTGCTGGATAAATGTTTCTGGTAAAAACAGAAGCTGGGGCGTGTGTCTTAAAGGGGAGGGGGAAGGAAAACGGCGTGCTCTGCTGTGTTGTTTGTTAGTGCTACGTTCTGCCGCAGTGGAGAACAGCGACTCTCTACCAGAGAGAGCCAGCATGAAACAAAACACCGAACAGCCACAGGTGTGTAGACGTAGGTTGTTTTTTTTTGCCCCACCACAGTGACTGAAGTTCTGTGAAGTGCTATGATAATGCCAGAGTTCAGAGTTCAGCTGTGACTCACACAGTTCTCCACACTTGTCTTTCAAAGCTCGTTGTCAAGTCATTAAAATGTACTGAAATGATGCCTTTTGCTGAAGGTTAGCTAACATGACAGACAGCCTGTGTATGTGTGTGCTTTATGATGTCGGTGTGCTAAGCTGTTTTCCATTTAACAGTGCTGTTGCCTGTGTCTGTTCCCTCCTGACCTGTGTGTGCAGGCAGACACCACAGCCACGGTCAGGCTGGAGCTGTGGAAGCCTCCGAGGTGAAGAGTGATACCGAGGCAGCTCTTGGCGCCAGCGGGAAACATGAACACAGTCACGAAGAGCTCCACGCCTGCATCGGAGTGTCTCTGGTCCTGGGCTTCGTCTTTATGCTGCTCGTGGACCAGATAGGCAGTTCTCATGTGCACAACACTGAAGGTCAGTGATTAGATTTTGGTGGTGAAAGGTCAGTGACCACACATCTGTTCCATTCCCATGGATATTAGTTAGACTTTTTACTTAATTATGTTTTTATTATTGTATTTATATAGAGAATATCTTGCCTGTTTTATTCTTAATCGCCGAGTGCCTTGTTTTCTATCCCTCTGCTGCTGTAGCTCTTATATTACCTTATGAATTTGACTGGTTGGCAGAGACATACTGTACAACTGCAAAGCAGTAATTCTGCTTGGAGTAGTTACTGTTCCACAGACTATTTATCAAGTCCCCCAACTTGATACTACACATTTCTCAGGCTGTACTTGGTGTAGAGATGTCGTTGTGTTCTCACTTTCATCTACTTTTGTGCTTTGTGTGGTTTAGATCCAGAGTCTGCCAGGGTCAGCTCCTCTAAAATCACCACCACCCTGGGCCTCGTGGTCCACGCTGCTGGTAGGTTCACCGATTCTGATGATGGTCCTATGTAACATGTTTATTTAAAGTCCATTTGTCTAAATCACAAATTGTTTCTTTTTATCAGATTTATTTCAGTTCACGCTGTTTGGATTTCTTACTGTGTACTTGATTCTTTTCTACCTCTAGTTAAGCTCGCTCCTTTTGAATTGAGCCTGAGAACTGGTGTTTTTAAATTAAAACCTATATTAGTGTGTCCAAGCAGTAATAGTCGCTCTTTATTTACAGTACTCATCAGTTTGTTATTGATGTACTAATGTCAGAGTATTATTGTAATCTCATGAACCCTCTCTTGCCCCCAGCCGATGGAGTGGCACTAGGAGCTGCCGCCTCCACCTCTCAGACCAGCGTTCAGCTCATTGTCTTTGTAGCCATCATGCTGCACAAGGTAATAGCGGTTCTAATGGATTTCAGTAAGTCAGTGTTTGTCACCTTCCTCGGCTGAAACCAGTAACACTGGATGCCAAAGACTTTGCTTCTTGAATGCTTCTGGGTGTATCTTACACATTTTTGGCTGCTGATGAAGTGTAATGCTCCATTGACAATTCGCTTCCAGCCTTCACACTTTTATCTGGTGTAGTGATGAACATGGTGGAAGGTTTCATCAGGACTTTGCCACAATGGAAAAAACAGCATCAGGGAAACTGGAATCCACCGCTGCGGCTGAATATTGATGAACACGGCAACAACACGCACCAGACACAGAGTGCAAACTACAGCTTTGTTGAACGTATTATAAAGATTACAGGCAATAAAAGTTAATGTCATGTTTCCTACATGATGCAGTCTGAAATGATCAGTGTTCATTTTGAATGGGGTTGTCTTTTTTCCAGGAAACAAACCTTTTTAAAAATGTGTTGTCTAGTCTAATTAATTAATCAATTTGATGTGTGGCAATAATACCAAACACACATTTGTTCCAGCATCACATTTGTAAGACTTAGATGCTTGTCATCGTCTTATTTGATGCTTTTAACTATATATTTTTGAATTTTAGACGGTGTGACAATAAAGCCATTTTAAAATTGATGATTAATCAAGAAAACAATCTTCAAATTCAGGGATAATTGAAATGGCAACTAGTTGCAGCACAATGTAAATGTGAAATTATATGAACTGTTGTCTGCAGGCCCCAGCAGCGTTCGGCCTGGTCTCTTTCCTGATGCATGCTGGTCTTGAGAGGAACCGCATCCGCAAACATCTCCTGGTCTTCGCTCTGGCAGCACCTCTCCTCTCCATGCTCACGTTTTTAGGCCTCAGTCAGGTAACTACTGTGGTGTTGGTCCGCTGTGAAACACCAGTGGTGATTAGCCTTTTTGCAGAGCAGATATATCTGTGACCAGTTACTCTCTCCTTGAGACAGGAAGGGCTTCTTGTTATACAGTCATGTGAAAAAAGTAGGACACCCTTTGAAAGCATGTGTATTTTGTAACATGTTTTAATATATGGTTATTTAATCTCAATTTTAACAATACAGAGAGATTAAAGTAATACAACTAAACAAGTAAAACTGAAGAAAAGTCTTTTCAAGATCTTCTGTAAATGTAATTCTACAAAAATGCCTATTCCAACTGAGGAAAAAGTTAGCACACCCT